AAATGCAATATGCTAAAGGAATGTGAAGAGTTGAAACAACATTTCCAAGTCAAAGAAACTTTTGGAAGCTTAAAGAATTGGTTAGAGTATAGGACTGAAATGAAAATACTCAGAACAATAAGTTTAACATTACAGGATAGAAAAGCTACACAGAGCCAACGTAGGTTCTTCACATAATTATGTCAGTAACTCTGTTCTTTTTATGAGGAAATATGCAAATTCATTTTCAGAAGTGATAAGCATTTTGTAAAACGGTAGGAGGATAACTTGCTTTGCTTCCACTTAAAATGGAGGTGAGTGTGAAAATCTTTGATGATAGAGAAAGACAGTGTAGTGAACTGGAGAACAGAAACCATTTTAAGTGGAGGGAGAAGAAAATATATTTAGTTACTAAAATCTTAGCACATTTAGTCACAAATTAAAGGTATAATAGTGAAATAAATCAGATAAATTTCTACCTCTTCTATTAAAGTTCTTATTTGTGTGTTAAAAATGATCTGACTTTTGTATTTATTAAACTTACTTGACAGCCTGGTAATCCGGTGTCTCTGCTGTACAGGGAAAATGAGCCTCTCTCTGACGTTTTTCCTATGAAACAAAAAATATAACTGTATACAAAAATCCTCACTTATTGACAAGCAATTCAACTTCTAGACCATTCATAGTAACTATACTGTGATTTGGAAGTACAGAGAACAAATCAGAAACAAGAAGACAAAATCCAATAAATAAAATTTAAAAAGCTTACTATCATTCCAGTTTAACAAATTCTGATTTTTGTAAAATAGCATGTATTTTATTGAATACTTTCTGCTGTGAAACACTGAAAAAATACTCAAAAAAATGGAAAAGAATAGACATCTATATAGCCAACAGTATGATCCGTGTACTTGGTAGAGAGAATAACGTTTTTCCCATATTTGCTTCACAGTGAACATCTCTCCTCCTCTTCTTTCTCAGAAATTGAAACAGTGTAGACACAGTTCAAATCTTAACTCAGACCCCAAGGTAACCGTCATCAAAAGGTTAGTGTATATGATCCCCCACCCCCCCTGCATATTTTGAAACTGTTAACATATTTATGTACTCAAACAATATATGTTACTGTCTATATTTAAAACATTTATTTTGTGTGTATCTTTAATACATTTAAAGATGGGATTATATAGTATCTATTCCTTTTGAAATCTGCATTTCCACGCAATAGTATGCTCTTAAGATACACGCGGAAAATAGACACCTGGTTTATTCCTTTTTACTGCTATAAAATGTCCTATTATGCAAACATAACCACAGTTAATCTATTCCCCTACTGAGAAAGAGATTTAGCTTTTTTGCTATCAGGATGGTAAAACAAATAGCCTTGCACATGTGCATATGTACACATAAGACTTTCTCTAGGATAGACACGGAGAAGTGGAGCTGCTGGATTAAAGAATGCACACTTTCAACTTTACAGGTGTTGCCTTACTATTATCTAATGTCATCATGCCAATTTATACTCTTTACAGAAATGTGTACAAATTCCTTCTGAGACTCTATAGTTCAAAAGTTGGATGGTTAAGTGTTAGAAGTGGTATGCACTGGTTCTAGAGGAAGAGTAGGCAGTACTGATACTGAAAGAAGTTCTTACTTGCTTTTCAATACACCAGAGTTTATGTTCAATACAGTAAATTTACAAATATTACAGATTTTAACTAAAGAGTCTCTCACAGACATGTTGCTTAAACAGATTTCCGTAAGGGGGCATCTGGGTGGCTTGGTCAGTTAAGCATTTGACTTTGGCTCAGGACATGATCTCGTGGTTTCTGGGTTCAAGCCCTGCACCGGGGTCTGCAGTGGCAGTGAGGAGCCTGCCTGGGATTCTCTCTCTCTCTCTCTCTCTCTCTCTCTCACACACACTCACTCTCTCACTTGCTCTCTGCCCCTCCCCCACTCGTGTGCTGTCTCTCTCAAAAATAAACTTTAAAAAAATAAGAATAAAAATCTTAAAAAAAAAGATTTCTCTAAGGATCACACTTTGATGTTAGTATCAAAGATGGAGATACAAATAAACAATGACAATGGCAGAGCTAATTGTTTTTCTCCATTCCAAAGTAAAAACAGTAACAATATAACTAAATCTGACCAGTTTTCCAAAATTTTTTAAATTACTAAAGCTAGGGGTGCCTGGGTGCTCAGTCGGTTAAGCATCTGATTTTGGCTCAGGTCATGATCTCACGGTTCATGAGTTTGAGCACCACATCAGGCTCTCTGCTATCAGTGGGCAGAGCCTGCTTGGGATCTTCTCTTTCTCTCTCACTCTCTCTCTCTCTCTGCCCCTCCCCCGCTTGCACCCTCTCTCTCAAAAACAAATGAAATTACTGAGGTTATATGAACTTCCTCATAATTGTATACTACAGAGTTATTAGCTTGTCATTATATAAAAATGTATAGTTTATTAATTTAAAAACTCCATACATAGATGGGATGCTCAAAATTATTTACTGATATGGTGCACATAATTTAAAAAAAACTTTAAGACATATGTACTAATATCTGATTAATTTCATTGCCATATACATGCCACACTGGCCAAATGATGTAAAATCATACAACTCTAAATTTAGTATGTACTGACCTGTTAGATATAGAAAATAATCCTTGTAATAACAAAGCTAGTTATTAGAAAATACAGTAATAACTCAGAGTATAATTTCAGAGCCCATTAGACATTATAGCACATGTCTTAAAAAGCACTTACTGGCTATTAGTGATGAAGCACATATTTCAGGTGAAGTAATGCTAACACATAAAAATGCAGATTTATGAGAAAAGGTTAATTAATGTAGTCTATTTGTCTCATAGTCTCACCATAAAGCAATATGTTCTACATAAAGTGCTTTAATTTGCAAAATATACATATGGAATAAAATGGAAAAAAAAAACTGTTAACTCTCTGAGGACCTATCCTTTACAAGCAAGACCGCTTGTAGGAGTCCAGATGATACACAGGGCTTTTGGACTCTACTCTTCTACTCTTGGAATCTGATCTTACAAAACCACAAAAAGATTGTACTTTTGCAACTGTGACACACACACCATTCCTGTGTCTCATCAAAATGGATCAGAAACCCTGCTGGACCAAGAACATGGCAGAGACTGAAGGGAAATGCCTACTCAGAATGACTGGCAGAGAGATTATGAGGTAAAGTAAAGAACAGCACACATTTTTGGTTTGGAGGTATTACTTTATTAATCAAATAAACACATTTATGAGATAATAAAAATCATTCTCAGTACATACCATTTTTTAAAAAGTTCATTTATTTATTTTAAAAAAGAGAGAGCATGGGTAGGGGAGGGGCAGAAACAGAGAGAATCCCAAGCAGGCTCCACACTGTCAGCAAGAAGCCCAATGCAGGGCTTGAATCCATAAAGTGTGAGATCATGACCTGAGCTGAAACCAACTGAGCCACCCCAAGAAAACACTGCTTTTGAAAACAAACCATGTACCATATACTTGGCAGAACAGAAATGGGAGACTATATTAACATTTTAATTATTTATTTTTGAGAGTGCAAGTGGGGGAGGGGCAGAGAGAGGGGGACAGAGGATCTGGAGTAGGCTCTGCACTGACTGGTAGGCTGACAGCAGCAAGCCCAATGTGAACTCATGAATGGCAAGAGATCATCACCTGAGCCAAAGCTCAAAGGACTGAGCCACCCAGGTGACCTGACTTATTAACATTTTAAACAAATACCATAGAGTTAAAAAAAACAAAACAATGCTTGTCTTTTACCACAATATACCACCAACTAATTATTGGCTGAAATACTCAATAGGCCCTTCCTACCTTACAAATTCCTCTTTCTGAAATACTATTTAAACAACTAAGAAAGACTTAAAGCTCAACAACAAGTTAAGGTCTATTATATTTTTACTTTCAAAGGTACTAGATCCCCCCCCCCCCAACTGTTGGGAAGAAAAGGAAACAAAGTAAGAGATTAATATTAGCTCTGCTTTTAATAAAGTACAGTTTTCAAGTATAATTTTAATTATCTGTGTGGAGGCTACCTGTTATATTATTTAAGAATATGTAAGCCTTTAAACCTACTTTTCTGTGCCTATTAAAATTCCTAAACTTCTTCCTTTCACAAGGATATTCAAATCAGAGAGAATGAAAACTAATTTAACATAAGCTAAAACCATTACAGAGAAGTTTCTTCTGAGATGGAAGGCTGATAGCTTGTTTTTAAAATGATACTTAACCTATTCAAATGAGATTTTGAAATGTAAATACATTTTTATTTCACCTTTCATTTATTAGGAACTAATTATTTCTGAGGGACTTAGAAATTTGGTTACACTTGAAATAGAATAATGCATACTCTCAGTCTGAGATTTAGAAGACATTTATCTTTAATTCTTTCAAAATTACTTTTTTTAAGAACTATTTTCATGAATTAAGATTAATCTCTATTTTATCTCAGGTGTCTGACAAATAACAACTTTTGGCTACCGTTTTTACAGTTTTCTGCTAAATAATATATATGAAAGCTGTATGTAGATAATTTTAATATATGTCAACTGAACACAGCTCAAGAACTGTTAGTAACTGGCATGTATCTAATTTCCCTTGAATGGTGAAGGATCCATACCATCAGATCAGCTAAAAAAAACCCTGAGACGTTAGCCTAGAGAGGAGAGAATCTGAAAGAAGTGCAGTCTCTGTACTTTTTATATTCGCAGAACTATCATGCTAAGATGGAATCAAAATTACACTATCTGGTCCTAGTGAAGAGACTTAGGAAGAGGATAAAAGTAAAGACATGCGTTCCTTTACCTTGTTATAAGGAAGAAGTCTCAGAAAACAGAATTTCCATTAGTAAAATTACTAGTGTGCAGAAAATTATAGAATATTCCTGGTGTTCTTACTAGTAAAGAGATTTGGGGAATAATTAGCTCTTTTATTGTGGGTTTATTTATTAATGCTGTGGAAGATTTAAGAGACACTTTTGGCAACCAAGTTACTACTAGTAAATCACAGTGAGTTCATGTTTACTGAACGTTTGGGTATTTTATAATGAAATGGTCATTCAAATATTTTGTTTACTTTTTCCTACTGGATTGTCATTTACTTGCTGATTTGTAGAAGTTTCTCAAGTATTTTTGATACAAGACCTTTTATTGTCTCTATGTAAATATTTTCGTCCTCTTAATGGTGTCTTTGGATAAACAAAAATTCATTTTAATGTAGACTAATTTGTCCATTTTTTTATATGTACTGTTTAAAAAATCTCTGCCTATTCCAAGGTAACAAATCTGTTTTTATTTTTCTGTGCTTTCTTCTAAAAGCTTTACTGCTTATCTTTCACATTTAAACTTGAATTTGGTTTTTGTGTATGTTGTTGGTGGTGGAGGCATGTCAAGATACATGTTTTCTCCACAGAGATATTCAAGTGACTTCAGAACTGTTTACTGAAAAGATGATCTACATCTTGAAAGTATCATCATGGCTACTTATGAAGAACAAGCTGTAGGGGAACAAGTGGAAGCAGGGAGACACTTAGAAAAGTACTGAAATAATCCAGATGAAAGCTAATGATGGCTTTAGTCCTTCCAACTCACTGAGACAGGTACTATTAAGTCCCTATTTTACTAATGAGGAGAAATAATTTGCCCAAGGTCACAGAATTACTAAGTAGTCAAAAGAACCTAAATACAGGGCTGACCCCAAATTCTTAACAGAATACTATACTGCACTGTTCTTCAGTGGAGGTTCAGGACACAATTCCCAGATTCAGCTCATGTACGTAAGCAATTGGTGGGGCCCAAATATAGTACAGAAATTTTTCTCTATTTAGCCCTCTAAGCAGCCTCTACCAATGAAATGATTTGGCACTATCTATCCTTGCTGAAAAGAGGGATGGATGAAAAATCATCCCCAAAATGATTGGCAGCAAAACCCAACTACTCCAAGGATTGGTTTTGGGTACAGAACATGGTCACTTACGCTGCCTTCACTCACAAGTAACTGCTGTTCTTTTTAGTTCTCACAAAGGGCATAAGTTAATGTTTTCCTTAATTTGAAATACCTGTTAGAAAAATACTTATTCTGATCTCATTTCATTTTTCTGGGTCTCAGTTTCCTAGTCTGTAAAATGAACAAGTTGGACAAGATCAGAAGGTGTGTAACAACATCCCGGGAGGCTGGGGCCCAAGTAGAGATTTATTTTTGTGTATATATTTAAAACAATTAAAAAATTTAATTGCAGTGGTAGCCATGAAAAAGCACCTTGCAAAGCTCCTACTTCCGGGAATGTAACTGACTGAGAGATCCAGCTGCTATGCTCTGAAATGATTACTTCTGCAGTGAGGCCCACTTGCTTCCATCAACATGCTCTGACAGAGTATGTGGGGGGGAAAAGCACACTTCTTCCTGGGGGACATACATTTCTATGTTGACCAACTTTGGCTCAAGAACTCCCGGGCTGCTGTACTGAACCCTCCTTAGGGTGCACAGCAGTCAAGGACTCTTCCACTCTCTTTCACTCTCAGAGTCTTCAGATTACTGCAGGCAAGGTGACAGGAACCAGCATTTGCAGACTAGTTATTATGTGCAAGGCAGTGTGAAACATGCTTTACTTACATTGCTGGTACCACTGCTAGTTGTATTCTTCTTCGTACTAGAAATACTCCTAATGCCGAAGAGTGATTGAAGGAATCTGGTAACAGGTATGAGATATGACAGTAAAACTGCAAGATCTCCTACAGATCTCAATCTACTGGCTGTAGAAGCCTTCCCTGTAATACAATCCTGGCCTATATGCTCTATTCCTACCAATTCAAAATAGCGTTTTTATAGAGAAATGGCCAGGGACAAAGATATTATGGAAGGTAGAGCTGGCTCAGCATTTATTTCTGAAGCAGTCTAGTGAATACCTGAAGTTCAGTAATTTTAAGGAATAGATACTATTTAAGAAATATTGACTTCATGAGTTAATGGCACAAATCAGAACAGTTTCCCTATGTGTCTGAAAGCCAGTATTATTTCAATGTTCATTTTTGTAAGGCATACTGAATTGCACTCATAAATTCAAATTCACCCCATCAGCTATATTTTAAGTGGGCAGAATTAGACAGATTTTTCTTAAAAGATAAAGGCTTAACCTAGAAAAAGAATCCTTGGATGTTTCAAACTGAAATATTTTATTACATATAAATCATGAGAACTTTTCCACATTTAGTTTTCAGAGGAACAATGTGAAATCCCTACTTAGGCCAATCTAAATATTTGGGCATAAATCTAAATATGATCACAGTTTTATGAGCAGACTGTCTTCCTCCCCGCTGAGGTATCTTTGAAAAATCATTATTTACCTAACCTCTTTGCTGATGGAGAAGCTTTTCCTCTTCTTTTTTAGAAGAACACTACCACTAGTTTCATACAATTTCCATCACACCAACCACTCAGAGAAACATAAAAACACACTATCCTACAAGGTGGGGAAATCTGTAATGCCATTTGGTATACAGCAGAGCAGAGACTTAGGATTCTGGTTACTGGATTCATCTCTTGGCTCTTGCTTCTCTCGTACTGAGTGAACTAAGCAAGTTACACGTCATTTAACATCAACGTCCCCACTCACTCTTTTAGGAAAATCAGCTCAGTAACATGTACCTCACACAGGCCTGCACAGTTTAATTAATGCTTATAAAGTATTTGGAAATTCTTGTCTCAAAGAACCGAAGCCAATGTTAACTATTGGTATTACTGACTTGATGTGGGTAGCAATCGGCTCACACTTACACACAAAAAATCTAGAAAGGATCTCAAACTAACAGATTATTTTTTTAAAGAAAAGAAAAGAGAGAGACAGAGGCGTTTAACATAAATGCCTATTTTCTTTCACAACCATTTGTTTAAGTATTATTGGCTAACATTTGTGCCAAGTGCGCTGCTGGCTACATTGAAGATACTTAAATATCTAGTGCCAACAAGCACAGCTGCCGGACTCTCTCTGCCCTCCTCTTGTTCACTCCATGCCAAATTACTCACACAGCTATGAATGATGAGGCAGCAGCACAGGAAACTGCCAAGTGTGAGTGAGATTAGTGATAAACCAGAGGATCCCTATAGAGGTCAGTGATTAGCAAGTTCCCAGTTGTAATCACTTTTCTAACCCAGCCTCTATCTCATCACTTATTTAATCTTAACTCTGCACCAACTTCCTGTGACAGGCATCAGAACCGAAAGCAGGTTCCCAATCAAAAATTCCTGAAGAACTGCTAAGGTACCAATACAGTATCTCATTATCCTTGGTAAGAGCATACAGTCATATCTGGGTAATTTGAATAGGCTTTAGAAATGGCTTCTTGAGACTAAAACCGGAGATGAAGTAGACCAGGATGCAAACATTCACCAGTCCAGCTATTTTCCTCTATGTTCTCCACGCCTTCCTAAAAATCAGATTCACACAGTAAATATATACAAATAGACAAGGATGAGAAGGTTTACACAAAACAGTATGTTTGCCTTTCAGCCCTAAGAATGCCCAGAGAGAATATTAAAATGCATAACTCAATATAAGGGAGTGTGGTTGATAGGTAGATTGGAAATTAGGAATGAAAAAACAGAGTAGAATAAGATTGTGATCAATTTTAGTAATCTTTCAAAACTTTATGGGTCATTTTATGGTTCACTTTTGCCACATATGGAATACATAACAAGGTATTCATTATAGGTAGCTCAAAATCTAAACGGCCCTTCTCTGAGACATTTTAGTCAATAATTATATTTTCAAATTGTCCCTGAACACATATTTACATCTGTATTGCATTGTTGCTTTTCCTTAGGTTAAGAATTTAAGTGTTTTCTCACTTAATGTCTCCATACTTCCCTAACCACATGTTGTTTAGAACTTAGAAACAAATTCAATTCATTTTTATACCAAGCCGAAATATTACAGAACTAGGAATTATCTCTTCATCCTTGGCTGCATTTCATGATAAAACATGGTGAATGCATATTCTTTAAAAATAATCAAATAACTTTTGTATCTTAATTTTTATCCCATTCTTAAATAAAAAAGGATTTCAAAATATTCATTTGAGGTTTTACAACTTTCTAAGGACTAAACTGAGCCAAATTTCAACACCTTAATTTTATTTTATTTTATTTTTTTTAATTTTTTTTTCAATGTTTATTTATTTTTGGGACAGAGAGAGACAGAGCATGAACGGGGGAGGGGCAGAGAGAGAGGGAGACACAGAATCGGAAACAGGCTCCAGGCTCTGAGCCATCAGCCCAGAGCCCGATGCGGGGCTCGAACTCACGGACCGTGAGATCTTGACCTGGCTGAAGTCGGACGCTTAACCGACTGCGCCACCCAGGCGCCCCTCAACACCTTAATTTTAGTCTACTCCCCTTTTCCCAAAATAAAAAAAGAAAATCAGGTTAAACTCATATCAACAAATAATTTGGCTGGGGAAAGAGAGGGGGGCATATTTTCAAAATGGTCCTGGTAATCATACTTCATTCTGACATACTGTTTCCACCAAATCCTTATACAGATGCTTCTCTCAGAAATTTCTTGTATCATACAATGATAAACAGAATATTAAGCTCATTGTTAATTCCTGTGATTTTTCTCACAACTTTCTGTATTTTGGCTGTTTAATTTAAATCATGACCTTACCACGCAAGGTCAATGTCTGTTTTTTATGGCACTTGGGGACCAGAAGGCAGATGCCACTTGTTTAGGAACACTGGTCTGGAATTCTAGACTTGTTTTGTTTGCATGCCAGGGACAGATTCTACTCTAAGGCTCTATCTATGGCATACAGCCACATGGAGACACAGACAGTATAAGAAAACTGTGCTCTAAAACAGTGGATAATAAATGATTGTTAATTGGCTAGTTTCCCTTGACAGCAAGAACTGGAATAGAAAGAAAGGAACTAATCAATGGAACTGCTACCATTCACCAACTATGTAGTCAGAAACAGAGTAGTAAAATGAAACAAGCATGGAAATGAAGAGTCAGAAGGGTCTATTCCTGTCTCTGCTATGAAGTAGCTGTCTGAAACAGGTAAGTTGTTAAACTCGCCAGGCCTCAGTTTCTTCACTTGGAGAATGGGGTGGAGTAGAGCAAATTTGATTTGGGATATCTCTTTCTGTTTTAATATCCCATCAAACTGGCATGCCCATCTATTTTGCTATTAATCAAGCACTCTGCTTCTGACAGAATGTAGATCTGTGAACCACGAGTAGTAGGAGGAAGAAGATAAACTGCTAAAAAATACAGAGATTTTTGCAGGAAGGGTAAATTCAACAACACAAGAAACAACAGATGTTGGCGAGGATGTGGAGAAAGGGAAACCTTCTTGCACTGTTGGTGGGAATGAAAACTGGACAGCCACTGTGGAAAAACAGTATGGAGGTTCCTCAAAAAGCTAAAAATAGAACTACCCTACAATCCAGCAATCGCATTACTCGGTATTTACCCAGAGAATACAAAAATACTAATTCAAGGGGCGCCTGGGTGGCGCAGTCGGTTAAGCGTCCGACTTCAGCCAGGTCACGATCTCGCGGTCCGGGAGTTCGAGCCCCGCGTCAGGCTCTGGGCTGATGGCTCAGAGCCTGGAGCCTGTTTCTGATTCTGTATCTCCCTCTCTCTCTGCCCCTCCCCCGTTCATGCTCTGTCTCTCTCTGTCCCAAAAATAAATAAACGTTGAAAAAAAAATTAAAAAAAAAATACTAATTCAAAAGGATACATGCACCCCAATGTTTATAGCAGCATTATCTACAATAGTAAAATATGGAAACAACCCAAGTGTCCATTGGTTGATGAATGGATAAAGAAGTGGTATATATATACAGTGGAATCCTACTCAGCCATTAAAAAAGCATAAAATCTTGTCATTTGTGATGGCAAGGAAGGAGCTAGAGTGTATTATGCTGAGCAAAATAAGTCAGAGAACGACAAATACCATATGATTTCACGCAAATGTGGAATTTAGGAAAGAAAACAAAGGAGCAAAGGTAGGGAGAGAAGAGAGGCAAGCCAAGGAACAGACTCTCAACTATAGAGAACAAACTGATAGATGATTACCAGAAAGGGGGGTGGGTAGGAAATGGGTTTAACAGGTGATAGGGATAAAGGAGTGCACTTGTGATGAGCACCAAGATGTATGCAAGTTTTAATCACTATACTGTACACCTGAAACTAGTAATATTACACTGTATGTTAACTGGAATTAAAAAAAAACTTAAAAGAAATGTTAACTGGAATTTAAAAACAAACTTTAAAAAGGGACTTCTGGAATAATGTACAGTTAAAAAAATGATGTGTATAAGCAGTTTATCATACATTTGTTTAATACATTGAGGTATTTTACTGGAGGAGCCAAGATGGCAGAACAGCATGGAAGTTTTTTTGTGTCTTGCGTCCATGAAATACAGCCAGATCAACACTAAACCATCCTGCACACCTAGAGATATTTTACTGTGAATACGGTATGTTGAATATGACAAACTGAAGTCTGTATACTTAGGGTTACCAAGACTTTATTTTATTTAGATTAAGAAAAGCTCTGAATGTTAATAAAATTTCTCACTGGAGCTCAACACCCTCCACCTATCTAATGCAGAAAGGTGAGTACTTTGCACACCACAGAAAATACACAGATACAGAGCAAATGAAAGGAGATGATTCTATTTTGTTGTAACACATGAGAAAATGGCCAAAAGGGAGTCTTAAATTCCCTCTGTGGTCTGCTAAGATTTACATATGATTCTTGCTACATAATAGGTACTGAGGGCAAAATAGGAGACATTCAGTTTTCCTTTCTTCTTTTTTGAAAATGTTTATTTATTTTGAGAGACAGAGACAGAGAGAATATCCCAAGCAGGAGATGTGATGTGGGGCTCTATCTCATGAATCGTGAGATCATAACCTTAGCTGGAATCAAGAGCTGGATGCTTAATCGACGGAGCCACCCAGGTGCCCCAACACACTCAGTTTTCATTGAGTAGCTTCCAGTATTGCATGCAATTTACTGCCATCCTACCTTTGCAATTTGAAAGCAGGTAAAGGCTGACCTCAAGCAGGTAAAGGCTGACCTTATAATCCAAATTAATTTGTGAGTCAGGCATAAATCAAAATAAATATTTTACATATCAACTCATTATAAATGGCTATACAAATCAATTTTAAGTCACAGAAGAGCTGTATATAATATTTGTGAAAGGGAGGAATGAAGGAAGAAAGACTGACGAAAAGAAAAAAAACTGTAATAATTTAGGGAGGAGGTATGGGGAAGTGATTATGAACAGAGACTCTGGATGTAGACTAAGTAGGTTTAAATTCCCATTCTGGAGTAATATTGGCTTTCAGACAAATAGTATTTTATTTTGTATTTTAATGAAGTCATTGAAATAGATTATTCTCTAACCTCACTGTACTTTAGTTGCCTCAAGTGTGAAATGGGATAGTAACAGTTTCACTTCACTGGTTTTTTGTGAGGATAAAAATGTACTGACAAAGTGCTTAGACAAAATGGAAAACACAAGATAAGGCCTAATTAGATATTAGTTATTATTCAAATCAAAACCATACTGAGATACCACCTCATGCCGGTCAGAGTGGCTAAAGGAGACCACAGATGCTGGAGAGGATGTGGAGAAACGGGAACACTCTTGCACTGTTGGTGGGAATGCAAACTGGTGCAGCTGCTCTGGAAAACAGTGTGGAGGTTTCTCAAAAAATTAAAAAGAGATCTACCCGGGGCGCCTGGGTGGCTCAGTCGGTTGAGCGGCCGACTTCGGCTCAGGTCACGATCTCACACTCCGTGAGTTCGAGCCCCGCGTCGGGCTCTGTGCTGACAGCTCAGAGCCTGGAGCCTGTTTCGGATTCTGTGTCTCCCTCTCTCTGACCCTCCCCCATTCATGCAAAAATAAATAAACGTTAAAAAAAAATTTTTTAAAAACAGATCTACCCTATGACCCAACAATAGCACTGCTAGGAATTTACCCAAGGAATACAGTAGTGCTGATGCACAGGGGCACTTGTACCCCAATGTATATAGCAGCACTTTCAACAATAGCTAAACTATGTAAAGAGCCTAAATGTCCACCAACTGATGAATGGATAAAGAAATTGTGGTTTATATATACAATGGAATACTACTTGGCAATGAGAAAGAATGAAATCTGGCCATTTGTAGCAATGTGGATGGAACTGGAGGATATTATGCTAAGTGAAATAAGTCAGGCAGAGAAAGATAGTTACCATATGTTTTCACTCATGTGGATCCTGAGAAACTTAACAGAAGACCGGGGGGAGGGGAAAGGC